TTTTTCTTCTTTGCTCTGAGCAATAGGTATACATAAATTTTGGCTTTTTGCATATCTTTAGGAATTCTCAGTTATTCATCGATTCGGAAATATTAAAGCAATTCGTGTAATTTATTACTGTAAATTTGTTAAGGCACGCGATCACGCAATTTATTAAAATTGAAAGCATGCATATGTAAAGTAATGTAAACAAATATATATAGAAATAAAATTCAATTATCGAAATTAACAATTAACATGCAATTTAAATCAAGACATCTGAAAGGAAATGTAATTTATAAACATTTTTCTCACATTTCTGTGCGCTGAGTACACGATTTGCTTATTTTGAATACCATTTGCAATTATATATAATTATTATATTATATTATAATCATATAATATGAATAAGAAATCTATTATAGCAATAGAATATAATATATGACGATAATGAATTTAATAGCGTGCTCATTATATCATGGGTTGAGGTATGCTGAAATTGTATAATGGGAGTATAGAATTTTCTGTATTATATAGAGTGGTTTAATAATAAAACTTAGTTGAGATCACGTTGCGACAGCAATATAGTAAACTAACTATTTTGTCTCAAATGTTCATATAGTAGAGATATAATTTAATATTTTATTTTGCTCAGATATAAAGATCATTATTATAATAAAAATTTGGCTTAACTACAATGAGACCTTTTAAAGACATTTCCAAGAAGAAAAATCCTTTTTATGAAACAGAGAAACAGTTACTACTTTACCATATTAAACATGTATAAGGTCTTCAACCGCTCTTTAATCAAATATTTTATATGAGTATAAAGCTAAGCAATAGCATAATTAATCACTGTATTATATAAACCCCATGTCAACTACAAAACTTAGGGCTCTCAACTGTAGTCAACGTTTATTTAGTGAGTTACATGAGCTGCCCGACTAGGCGTTCGCCTTTTCCCACATTATATATTCATGTACATGTCAAATGCACAGAAGCTAACTATTAGGAATTCTTTGACATGTCACGATTTCGCCCATTGTGCAAAGCCTTCAAAGAATGCAGCTGGAAGCGCTGCGCCTCTGCCTTCTTCCGCATGCATATTGTCAGGTAGACTCAGCTCAGCAGAGCAAACACCCGGAGGAAGTTGCACAAGCAAACAAAAAAAAACACACAAAAAATGAAAGTATTATCACACACTCACACGTGCAATCATAGTTCGTCTATGCCTTATAGTTCATATCAGTTAATTACACAATTGAATACTTTCAATTGTTGCAAATCACGCTGCTGGCATATCGAGGCCAGGCGCTCGCTGAGTCAGCCAACTATATTCGACTTTCAAAACGAATGCCCCAAATGCATTTGAGTACCGGTTCACAGGCCTGCTCGAGATGCTGTGCGATTTGACTTTGAACTTCAAGCATAAGTAATAAATGTACATGTATATGTATATGTTAATGTATGCATGTCTATATTTCGCATGCGAATTGAGCTGTCTATCAGCCAAGAGACGTGTTTGTCAGCCCTTGGGCACGGGAACAGCATGGACACGCACCCAGCCAGGCTGTCTATGTCGCGTGGCACCTTATCACAGGGGCTCAGCCAGATGTATAACATATTGACATATGCTGACAATCGGCTGTTGTCTAATCTAATCTATTCGAGACTAATTCCAAACCATTTAATTTATAGCCCTATCAGTAGAAGAGGTCAGCTCAACTTGTGATCTTAGCTCTTAGTCTGAGTTTGGGTTCAGACTTTAAGCACTTTAAGCACAAACTACTTAAACCTACATTTCTATCAATCTAATGCGCTTAATCTAGAGGTCTATCAGTGGAGAGATCAGCTAAACGGCTGATCTAAACAATGTTTGGGATGAAGCTTTAAAAGGAACTACCTTCTCTTGAACCTGTAGCTCTATCAGTAGGAGAGGTCAGGGAAACTTGTGATCTTAGCTATGAGACGGTGTTTGGGCTCTTAAGAAATCTAACAGCGCTTGACTTCTCCATCTCCACTTCTCCATCCATCGAATCCGCTTTATAGGTGTATTAGTAAAAGAGAGCAACAAAACTTGTGATCTTAGACCATGTTACGGTTAAGGTCTCAAGCACTTCAAGTCCTAACGGCTATTGACTTTCCAAATTCACTGCTACATCTCCATCAATCTAATCCTCTTCGATCTTCACTTTGTTTTCAGGGTCTGGCCTTCACACATGAGGAACGTCAGTTGTTGGGCATTCACGGTCTTTTGCCCTATACGGTGAAAACTCTTGAGGATCAGGTGAAGCACTGCCGTATGTTGCTGGATCGCCTGCCTAACGATTTGGACAAGTATATGTACCTGATTGGCCTGTCGGAGCGCCACGAGCGTCTCTTCTACAATGTGATCAGCTCAGATATTACGCACATGATGCCGCTGGTGTATACGCCCACGGTGGGTCTGGCCTGCCAGAAGTACAGTCTTGGGTTCATCAAGCCCAAGGGCTTGTTCATCACCATCAAGGACAAGGGACACGTCTACGATGTGCTCAAGAACTGGCCAGAGACGGATGTGCGCGCCATCGTGGTGACCGACGGTGAACGCATCTTGGGTCTGGGTGATCTCGGCGTCAATGGCATGGGCATTCCCGTGGGCAAGCTGTCGCTGTACACGGCTCTGGCTGGCATCAAGCCCAACCAGTGCCTGCCCATCACCCTGGACGTGGGCACCAACACAGAGTCCATACTGGAGGATCCGCTCTATGTGGGTCTGCGCCAGAAGCGCGCCACTGGCGATCTCTATAATGACTTCATCGATGAGTTTATGCGCGCCTGCGTGCGCCGCTTTGGCCAGAACTGTCTCATCCAGTTCGAGGACTTTGCCAATGCGAACGCCTTCCGCCTGCTGTCGCTGTATCGCGACAAGTACTGCACCTTCAATGATGACATTCAGGGCACTGCCTCTGTGGCCGTAGGAGGCTTGCTGGCGTCGCTGAAGATCAAAAAGACCAAGCTGAAGGATAATGTGCTGCTATTCCTGGGCGCTGGCGAGGCCGCTCTGGGCATTGCTCAGCTGTGCGTCATGGCCATGAAGCAGGAGGGCCTCACCGAAGAGGAGGCCAAGACGCGCATCTGGATGGTCGACAGGTAGGTCAAATACTTTATGAACTCATCATAACAAATCCAATTAACCTCCGTATCGTCCGTTTGCAGCCGCGGCGTTATCGTGCGCGATCGGCCAAAGGGCGGCATCACTGAGCACAAGTTGCACTTCGCTCAGGTCAGCGCGCCCATTGACACCTTGATGGACGCTGTGGTCAAGGTGCGTCCCAATGTGCTGATTGGTGCCTCGGCTCAAGGCGGCGCCTTTAACCAGGAGATACTCGAGAAAATGGCCGAGATCAATGAGACGCCCATCATATTTGCCCTCTCGAATCCCACCAGCAAGGCTGAGTGCACCGCCGAGGAGGCCTACACCCACACACAAGGACGTTGCATCTTCGCCTCCGGCTCACCGTTTCCGCCAGTCACCTACAATGGCCGCAAATATTATCCGGGCCAGGGCAACAACTCGTACATCTTTCCGGGCGTGGCTCTAGGCGTCTTGTGCGCCGGCATGCTGACAATACCAGAGGATGTGTTCCTCATCGCTGCCCAGAGTCTTTCCGACATTGTGAGCAAGGAAGACCTGGAAAAGGGCAGCCTGTATCCGCCACTCAACTCGATCGTTCAATGCTCAATGAAAATTGCCGAGGAGATCGTGACCTATGCATACAAGAGTGGCCAGGCCACCGTGCAGCCGGAGCCCCAGAACAAGCTGGCCTTCATCAAGGCCCAGATGTACGATCTCGACTATCCTCGTGCCTTGCCCCCCACCTATCCCGTGTAAATAGAGACGTAGCAAGCGAACCACATGCGGCCCCCTCAGCTACTCAACCATCTCCTCTCGTCCACAACGTCGCGACCCTTGGCAGAAACTCCATTCCATTTGCCTTCTATGAGGAAACCAGCAACACCGGGTGTCGTTATTTATTCTACAGTTTCATGCATTCTTAGCACACACCTTTATAAACATAAAATACAGAAGAAGAAGAAGAAGAACAAGAAGAAGAAGGGGAAAAATAACAAGCTTCGTATGTCGCTTAATGGCCGAAATTGATAACCAGATTTGTTTTAGATAATCATTTTAATGATACAGTTGATATGTGTAAATGGGATATTACTATTCTAGATATCTATATGTGTATACAAATTCTATGTAAACGTGAACACAAACTATCATAAGTACATAAGTCAAACAAAATAAATAATAATAAAGTAAAATTGATCAAGGCAGCAATCATTTTTCAAAGGCTGCCGAAAAGACATTTTATATACATATACATTTACT